CAGCAACATCCCAGGTATATCACGCCAGCAGTATCCCAGGTATATCATGCCAGCAATATCCCAGGTATATCATGCCAGCAATATCCCAGGTATATCATGCCAGCAATATCCCAGGTATATCATGCCAGCAATATCCCAGGTATATCATGCAAGCAATATCCCAGGTATATCATGCAAGCATCATAACAGTTATACAACACGCCAGCAGTATCCCAGGTATATCATGCCTGCAATATCCCAGGTATATCACGCCAGCAGTATCCCAGTTATATCACGCCAGCAATATCCCAGGTATATCACGCCAGCAGTATCCCAGGTATATCATGACAGCAACATCCCAGGTATATCACGCCAGCAGTATCCCAGGTATATCATGCCAGCAATATCCCAGGTATATCATGCCAGCAATATCCCAGGTATATCATGCCAGCATGTTACAATGGAGTTCTGTCAAGGGCAATCTGGCTTGTGACCAACACATCAAGAGCAGCAATGGCTGCTGGGAAACCCATTATGATCCGGAATCCGAGGATAGCGGCAGATGGCAGACACGTTGAAGTATAATCAGAAAAGGAATGGATATATAAAAGTTAAAAACTTTGAAGCCTGCTGTGGCACACTGTGTGGTAAAGAAGCCCAGAGACAATATTTCCTGTCCTGAGTCGTCAGAAGATCCCCACTTACACCAGTAGGGACTCCGTACAGGCAGTAACTACATTGACACATGCAATAATATCAACGTATTTTCATACAGTTGTTGTAGCCTCAATTTCTATTTCATATTTTTTATGCACCCTAAACTGACCTTTGTTGAGAGAAATGTTTGAAAAATGGGTAAACATATTGAAAAAGTCGTTGAAGCAAAATTGAAATAGAAAAAAATGAAGTGAAGGTTCAAAGCTTGCTTTGAAATATCATATAACTGATCCCAGGAGGAGAAATGCATGTGGTATGCAGTATGTGTCGTGGAGGATGTAACTTGTGGAGTCTCGGCAGTGACGAGTCTGCCCAAGTCATTCAGGGAGCCACTTTATTGCCGGCAAATGAAGTTGGTTTTATGCAAGATGGCTGCTGGGACATTCCTACTGTATAAGATGAACTCACCGGAGAAGGAAATTATATGCAGAGTCAGGGTAGATCAGTTCCACAGGAAGCAGGTCAACAACAGTTGTGAGGAGAATAGTACACAGGTCAGCATCAGTTCTGAGGGGAATAGTACATCAGATACTTGAATGTGCTGCCATTTAATTACACACAACATTAAGATCAGTTTAATGGCTACATTAGCTTACTTTTCCTGAGTTAAACCATCTCCAATGCATATTTCCAACAGGGAGAAACAAAAACTGTATTTGGAAGACAAACAGGTAGCCATTGATCTTCAACTCTGATGATTGGTTGGACTTCTGTGATATTTACAGATATCAAGCGTGGAGTTTCAAGTACTTGTGGAACTGTGTAAACAAGTGAAACATTTTCAAAATGTATGTATGAGATGACCTTTGTTCTTGAAGAAGTATTGTTGTGGTTCAGATGACATGGTTTAGAAACAAGTATATCACATGGTAGTGTATACATATGGTGTGATTGTAGACAAGGCTGTCAACAAGCCCTGCAATGTGGACATCAGTGTTGATATTCTGGGTGAAAGCTGGAATTGTTTCATAAATACTGGTAAAACATAAAGACCCTGCAAACCCCCCCCAACCCTCCTTTCATCATTGCCAGAAAGCCTGTGTTTTGTCTGTAACCACACATCAAAATATTAGGCAGTATAATAGTAAATTATTCATCTACTTTCAGAGAAGAAATCGTATGTTTTGCTGTCGGCCCTAAACCAATCATGGAGATATTGACATGTCTCATTGTTTGACTTAGGTCAGTTTGGAGTGAATCATTTTCATGTGGCAGAGTATGTGTTGGAATATGCAACACACAACAGACTGTTTATTTAAGCTGAGTATATTGAAAAAGGGAGCAATAACATTTAACTTAGCAGGAAATGAGTTGCAGCGTTGATTACAAATTAATTTCTTGTGGAAGTGTTTCATCATGGTTCATGTGGGAATGAGGAAACTCAGACTTGCAGTAAATAAACAAACGGTGTGAGATGGGACACGTATGTGTGTTTCTGTATAAAATATCACAACCAGTTTCTTGTGACGCTTCGGAGTGAGCAGGTTCACAATATCGGTCAACAAATCAAAACTCAAATCAAGACAATATGGGGGCGATGGGGTAGCCTAGTGGTTAAAGTGTTCGCTCATCATGCTGAACTCCGAGGTTTGATTCCCGACATGGCCCACATGGGCACAATGCCTGAAGCCCTTTTCTGGTGTGATATTGCTGGAACATTGATAAAAGCAGCATAAAACTCACCTCACTCACTCACTCCTGAGGGGGGTACACTGTGAGGGAGGTGGTTTGATGCCCTGTTGAACATGGTTGGTCTGCAGGATGTGGAGGAAAGCTCCCAGACATCTGTTGTGAATCAATGAGTGGGTTTGGTGCGAACAACCCAGGACATGATGTAGGATTCCTCCATGTAGGTATCACCAGAGGCTGGTACTGACTGACTGGGGTTGTCTGAGTCAGTAACAACAGCCTGAAGGTGGAAGTATTGTTCATGTACAGTTTGACCCCCCAAAAATACAATTTTAACTTTGAAATAATAACAGTTTTCTCAATTTGGCTGCTTCCATTCCAGGTCCATAGATGATGTGTATACATTCTGATCACGTGATAGACAACTTGTGATCACTCCTACCATACACAGTATGATGTCATGGTGTTTTCTGTCAGAGACAGTTATTTACTGTGTTTTCCATGTGAACCTACATTTCGTTGACAAGTGATCCCCATATACAGTTTGTTGGGGTCACATCACATACCACAATCAGTAATATTAACATCAATTCAAATTTAGCTCAAACCAAAATTCAAGATTCTTGTTTATGTTTCTCAAGTAACGAGATAAACATTTAATACTGACTTATTGTATTAGAGGGGCGGTGGGGTAGCCTAGTGGTTAAAGCGTTGGCTCGTCATGCCGAAGACCCGGGTTCGATTCCCCACATGGGTACAATGTGTGAAGCCCATTTCTGGTGTCCCCTGCCGTGATGTTGCTGGAATATTGCTAAAAGCGGAGTAAAACCAAACTCAGTCAGTCAGTATTGTATTAGAATTTCCTTTTTGGTATAAATACGGTAATGTCCTTTATGGACACAGATAGAGATGCTAACATGTGCCATCATGAACATATGAACTGGAAGGTTACTATACGTGCATCAATTTACTTGTGCTTTTTCTGTTAAAATTCGGTAGAGTAGCCTAGTGGTTAAAGCATTCACTTGGTATGCGGAAAATCTGAGTTTCCCCAAATGGGTACAATGTGTGAAGCCCATTTCTGGTGTTCCCAGACGTAATATTGCTGGAATATTGCTAAAAGCGGTGTAAAACCATACTCACTTTAGCAATTAAAGGTTGTAAAATACTTTTCTTGCAGGATGATAACAGCCGTTGCAATGTCTTTTTTTCATTTAATTTCTAAGCATAACTTGAAAGCACTTGGCATGTATACTTTAGCCAAGCAGTTATGATTTTGAACTTTCTTTGTCCACACGTATCCAAAGATTTTGAACAGTTTTGATATTGTACGTCCTGCAAATGTGTTCAGAATATGATCAACTGGTACAAACTGCGTGACATATCTGAGTCAACTCGCTTCTTTCTGATGTCTCACTGCTGCTAGTTGTATAGCTCTCTCAAGGTCAAGATGAGGTGGGGTATTTAACAAAGGTGCTTCCATGATTCCAGGGCTGAAGCCAGACAACACTAGCATCTACCGTGACATCAGTGTATAAAAGTACATCAGCATCTACTGCCTTAGCTACCGGGACGTCAGCATCTACCAGTACATCAGCATCGCCAATCTAACTCTTCCAGCCGTCAGGAAATCTTTGACATACCACAGCAGTAAGTTGACTAATGGAGTGATGATATAGGGCAATAATGGTGTTCATATTAACATAGTCTGTCTGAGATTATTTCCGGTACAGTTTGGCACACGCTCCCCCACAATGGGCAATTTCCGCCGTTAAGCAGCCTATTGATGAAGCAGACCCGCCAACTCAAGCCAGCAATTGTCATCCACTTGATGTCGAAGAAAACCACTGTTTCGCCTCGTTAGCAGACATCGTTAACCTTCATTCAATCTCAGTATTGACCGTGTCTCTAATCTTGTACATAATAAAACAGTTCCTATATCTTTTATATCCTCCTCTCCAGGTAATATAGGTTTTATCTCCCTCTTAGAGAGATCAAGCTTTTCAAGAATAATATGTAATTTATTTTTCTTTTAACATGAATCTTCTGTGGATTCACCATGGGCAGAACTGGTCCTCGTTGTGAAATCAATTTGAGTTCAGGTTGTCTGATTCTTGGTGACTTCACTGTTTGCATGTCATGATCACCCAATGGGCTTAGGTTGGTGCTCATATTATTAACCACTAGTTTGATTGATCAAGACTTGTTGTTTAGGTGGAATTTGTTGGCTTCAACACAAAGCAACACTTGCCCATGTGTTACATGATAAAAAAACTTTCCGATTTCTAAATTTTTTGTCAAATCTCACACTGTATAAGTTGACGGAATAATTTACAGAAGTAGATTATAGCATCAAGGTTCACAGTGGCCAGACAAATGGTAACTGTCTTAGCTAATATAGTTCTCAGAGGCACCTCCCTAAAAAAAACAAAGGCCACCCGAACTTTAGAAACAATTAATAACAACTGTCTCCATTGGGCCATGTGAGCCATCATTATCTCACACACACATACACACATTGTGTTCAGACACCAGCCTTTTGTTAGTTGCTCCATGCTATAACCACCGTATTATGACATCACTTCACCACCAATCACAATAGCTGCAGCTACTGGCTGTGTGTTATCCATATCTCCCTAAGGAGGGAATCTGCACACGCCCAGGGGACAGGCTGCAGGGTCAGTCATACTGCGATGTGATTGGCCGAGGGCTGGCCTAATACTGCCAGCTGATTGCCGATATTGATGGCAAAGTTAGACGAGCACGGTATTGATCGTTGGGCTGGTTCCTGCAACTGCCAACTCTCGTCTTGTTGCCACTTGGGCAGATGGCCTCGTCTTCTGTGGCTGCCGGACTGCACAAAGGGTTTTTAAAACGGCTCATCATTTTGTTGCACAAGTCGTGAGAGTTACAGGGTAATTGTCAGGCACAGCTAATGTGACCACCTACTTTCTTGTGAGGCGATCACCCGTGAAACACCAGCATCTGTTGTTACACGTGACTATTCCTGGTTGTAAGGAGCACTGTGTCAAGGTCAGTGATCTCAGGGAGGTTTATATGTGTGAGATAACATGTGAATGAACTATCTATATGTTTGTGTGTGTGTGAGTTTGCATGTGTGTGCGTGTGACGACTTTCATATGTATGAGAGATTATAGCATGTGATGTGTGTGTTTGCATGTGCGTGTGTTTGCATGTGCGTGTGTCTGTGAGTATTGTTATAACATGTGATGTATACATGTCCTCATGTGAGAGCACATTAATAGCATGATCTATATAATGTGAAGATTATTACAGCACGTGAGAGCACATTAATAGCATGATCTATGTAATGTGAAGATTATTACAGCACGTGAGAGCACATTAATATCATGATCTATATAATGTGAAGATTGTTACAGCACGTGAGAGCACATTAATAGCATGATCTATGTAATGTGAAGATTGTTACAGCACATGAGAGCACATTAATATCATGATCTATGTAATGAGAAGATTGTTACAGCATGTGAGAGCACATTTATATCATGATCTATGTAATGTGAAGATTGTTACAGCACGTAAAGAGCACATTAATAGCATGATCTATGTAATGTGAAGATTGTTACAGCACGTGAGAGCACATTAATAGCATGATCTATGTAATGTGAAGATTGTTACAGCACGTGAGAGCACATTAATAGCATGATCTATGTAATGTGAAGATTGTTGCAGCACGTAAAGAGCACATTAATAGCATGATCTATGTAATGTGAAGATAGTTACAGCACGTTAGAGCACATTAATAGCATGATCTATGTAATTCGAAGATTGTTACAGCACATGAGAGCACATTAATAGCATGCTCAATGTAATGTGAAGATTGTTACAGCACGTGAGAGCACATTAATAGCATGATCAATGTAATGTGAAGATTGTTACAGCACGTGAGAGCACATTTATAGCATGATCTATGTAATGTGAAGATTGTTGCAGCATGTGAGAGCACATTAATAGCATGATCTATGTAATGTGAAGATTGTTACAGCACGTGAGAGCACATTAATAGCATGATCAATGTAATGTGAAGATTGTTACAGCACATGAGAGCACATTAATAGCATGATCTATATAATGTGAAGATTGTTGCAGCACGTGAGAGCACATTTATAGTATGATCTATGTAATGTGAAGATTGTTACAGCACATGAGAGCACATTAATATCATGATCTACATAATGTGAAGATTGTCACAGCACGTGAGAGCACATTAATAGCATGATCTACATAATGTGAAGATTGTCACAGCACGTGAGAGCACATTAATAGCATGATCTATGTAATGTGAAGATTGTTACAGCACATGAGAGCACATTAATAACATGCTCAATGTAATGTGAAGATTGTTACAGCACGTGAGAGCACATTAATAGCATGATCAATGTAATGTGAAGATTGTTACAGCACATGAGAGCACATTAATAGCATGATCTATATAATGTGAAGATTGTTGCAGCACGTGAGAGCACATTTATAGTATGATCTATGTAATGTGAAGATTGTTACAGCACATGAGAGCACATTAATAGCATGATCAATATAATGTGAAGATTGTTACAGCACATGAGAGCACATTAATAGCATGATCTATATAATGTGAAGATTGTCACAGCACGTGAGAGCACATTAATAGCATGATCTATATAATGTGAAGATTGTTGCAGCACGTGAGAGCACATTAATATCATGATCTATGTAATGTGAAGATTATTACAGCACGTGAGAGCACATTAATAGCATGATCTATGTAATGTGAAGATTATTACAGCACGTGAGAGCACATTAATAGCATGATCTATATAATGTGAAGATTGTTACAGCACATGAGAGCACATTAATAGCATGATCTATCTAATGTGAAGATTGTTGCAGCACATGAGAGCACATTAATAGCATGATCTATCTAATGTGAAGATTGTTGCAGCACATGAGAGCACATTAATAGCATGATCTATATAATGTGAAGATTGTTACAGCACGTGAGAGCACATGTATAGTATGATCTATATAATGTGAAGATTGTTGCAGCACGTGAGAGCACATTTATAGCATGATCTATGTAAAGTGAAGATTGTTACAGCACGTGAGAGCACATTTATAGCATGATCTATGTAATGTGAAGATTGTTGCAGCACGTGAGAGCACATTAATAGCATTATCTATGTAATGTGAAGATTGTTGCAGCACGTGAGAGCACATTAATAGCATGATCTATATAATGTGAAGATTGTTACATCACGTGAGAGCACATGTATAGTATGATCTATATAATGTGAAGATTGTTGCAGCACGTGAGAGCACATTTATAGCATGATCTATGTAATGTGAAGATTGTTGCAGCACGTGAGAGCACATTTATAGCATGATCTATGTAATGTGAAGATTGTTGCAGCACGTGAGAGCACATTAATAGCATGATCTATGTAATGTGAAAATTGTTACAACACGTGAGAGCACATTTATAGCATGATCTATATAATGTGAAGATTGTTGCAGCACGTGAGAGCACATTAATAGCATGATCTATGTAATGTGAAGATTGTTACAGCACGTGAGTGAGAGGGAGGGCCAGAGGGAATGTCCACCATGTGATGCGGAATGGTAATATCAACTGCCTTAAACTGTTGTTAAAGTACTGCTGTACTTGCACAGATTAGATTGTGTACCGTGAACAATTTCAATGGTTTTATATTTTGTTTGTGAAAAGGCCTTTTCTACTTGTATTAACTTCTGTAATCATTAGATCTGATGGTTTTTGTTTTGATAGATTGTCTTTTAATTAAAATGAATGAAGAACCTTTCTTGAATACCTGTTTGAGGGGGTAGAGCCTGGAAGATTAGGTTGTCTGTACATCTCTTACATTATAACGAAGCACTGGAGGTCAAACAGATTTAGCAGGCCATCAAGGGTTTGAGTGGGCCAATACAGGTTTGATCAGGCCATTGTGGGTTTGAGCAGGGCAACACAGGTTTCAGCGGGCCATTACGGGTTTGAGAGCACCAGTACAGGGCTTAACAGGCCAGTACAGGTTTTTGAGGGCAGATTGTACAGTTAATTTTTCACCTTTTTCTGGATCTTCATGACTGGTACTACTTGGAGACATATACTGTAAACGTACTTATTTTCGCGTGGTGCAATTTTCGCGGAATTGACAATTTAGACTACATCGCGCGGTCAATTATTCGCGCAATCAGTAATTGCCGGAACTGCCAGCTGTCTCTTTGGCTGCCACTAATAGCAGTGAAAACAAACAGAGTGGCGTTTATTGCTTACAGGAAATCCCTATCTGTGCGATATACTAGTTAGGAAATAAAGTTCGCTCTACCCCAATGTGTTTTGTAATAAAGTATAGTTTTGCCCTGAACTATTATAATTAAAGCACGAGGACGGTAGTCCGAGTGCTTTGATATTATAATAGTTCAGGGCAAACTATACTTTATTACTAAAACACATTGGGGTAGAGCAACTTTACATCTTTCTAAGATGCTAAATTTAATACTTTCTAAGGATAATTACGATTAATCCTAAGGCAGAAAACAAATGACGGTGTCGGTGACCTAAATTAAGAATCCTCGCACAGGGCTAACTGGTGCGCTGTTCTATTGATGTGTCTGCCCCCTCGTTAAGACGAAACGTTACCAGAAAAAACAAATGATAACAGTTTGATGACGGTTTACGTTAGGATTAAATATCTTCTCTGAATTATTTTAATTACATCTGTCATTAACGTAACCATATGGGGCAATATGAACGTGCATTTCTACTACCAACGGAAGTTTAGATCAGTACATCCAGATGAAGCTGAGTAGTCAAGCGACATTCCACGATTGCATTGTGGGAATGTAAACATTGCCCGAACGTTACCGTGTCGCTGAAAACTTATGTGAGTCGAATTGAGACATTTTAACCGTCGTAAAACATAACGGTAATGTTTCCACCAGTGATGGTAGCTGCGTGAAGCAACTGCAAACCAAGAAACGGGATGCAACGGAGTAGTTTACTGAAGGAGGCCGTACGAGGCGATGACAACTGACATGCATCGTGACGTCACTTACATTGTGACGTAATGTAAAATGATTCGATTACGAGGGGGCACACTAGAATGGCGCAGTGACGGGACAACGTCATTCAATTGTTACGTCATCAAAAAACTATACCTTTATTGTCTCATAATGTATTCTTTTTTCGATTGTTCTAACCGCTAGGCATCTTAGAATACACAGTAATCCGTTTACTCACGGAAGAGATGAAAAACACATCAGTCTTATGTTCCGAATTCTGACGATCTGACGAATTAACTTCTACTGTATATGAAGCTCTTTGTGATTTCAAAAAGGCCGGGTTGTTGTGAATGAGATGATTGAGTGTTAAGTGACTATTCGCTTCATGATGTACTGGTAAATAAAATCTTAATGAATAAATAAAATACTGCTGTATTATTTCTTTCCGAGTCGTTTCATGGTAATCTGTTTTGTATCAAACCATCTGTTATGTGACCAATTTCCACACACATTGCTGTTTTCGCTAATTCGGCGATGGGATTTGGCTCATTATTTAATTATGTTTTGGGAAATCCAAAGTTAAGTATGATTCTTTATGCTACTATCAGTCGTCATTTTAAGATTCCCGTAGATTTCTGTCTTCAAACTTGATGTGTTATGGTAACAACTCAGGGGCGAGCGTGGCTAGACTGAATGAATGACAGGTTTATTCATGTTATGATAAATTTTGGCTAAAATGTGTTTTATGCCGGTGCCAGAAAATAAAACCTGCGCGAAATATATTACGTTTACAGTAGTTTACGTATTCATTAAATGAGTGTTTTCGTATTGGCTGGTCTGGCTCAAGGCAGGCACATATGATAACATAACGATATAGATGATGATTCTTTACCCCATGGACATTCACCAGGCTTGTGTGGGCAGCGGCTGGCATGGGAGTTTGAAGGAGGGACTTGCTTGTATGGGCAGCGGCTCGCATGGGAGTTTGAAGG